TGTATGTATATGTGTATGTATGTGTGTGTATGTGTGTGTATATATATGTGTGTGTGTATATATGTGTGTTGTGTGTGTGTGTGTGTGTGTGTGTGTGTGTATATGTGTGTGTGTATATATGTGTGTATGTGTGTTTGTGCGTGAGTGTGTGCATGTGTGTTCGTGTCTATCTGTGTCTATGTCTGTCTGCCTCTCTGTGATCGGCGTCTCGTGCATCGATAAAGAGTCTAAAGCATCTCTCCGCAACCAGGCGTGCGCATGAACATGGCGGCGCCCGTGAGCATCGAGTACGTGAAGAACGGCACGGACGTGGTGCTCAGCGGCTGCTTCCTGGTCGAGAGGAGGCACCAGCAGCAGCCTCCGGAACCCACGGACTCCAGCATCAAGATCAAGGAGCGCCCCGAGATGAACGTCCTCACGAGGCAAGATGGACGCGATGTTTTATTCTTATTCTTATTCTTATTATTTTTATTATTATAAATTTAGATCCATTTCATCGAGTGGAAAAATATTTACTTGAACGCATGCTTTCTTGGTATTCGGTGGGTACATTCCACTGATCACGTGATTGAGATTGAAGGATTATAGTCGTGTTTCTTTAGGTCGTCAACGATGAGAGAAAAATGGGGAAAAAAATACCGGGATCTAATAAGTATCAAAAGAAATATACGTGTATATATATGCAATTTATTAAACCAAATTAATATTCTGTAGGAAGTTCGGTGGATATGCAACCTCGGACTCGGTGTGGCTCCGGGAGACGGCTGCACTCAAGGCCATCCTCACGGCAGCCGGGAAGGAAGTCCGCTCCGATCTGATGTACTGGTGAGTGGGGCGGTTAGTGGTTAAGGACTGACGTTCTGGTGGGTGGGCGGTTAGTGGTTAAAGAGATGATAAATCTGCTAGATATCAAAGGTCATGTAGCATCGTAGGAAGGTAAAGTAGTGATGGTTATTGGTTAATAGTTAAAATGTGCTAGACATCTATGGTCATATAGCATACTATGGGAAGGTACAGTAAAAGGTGGTGAAGGGTGATAGTTGTTGTGCGTCAAGTATCTTGAGTAGTATTGAAAGGTTAAAGATGGGTAAAGGGGTTAATGAGTGAATTGAATGGGTTACGGTGGGGTTAGGTATGGGGATTAGATCAGGTGAAGGATATCTATGCATCTGAGGAAGGAGAATAGGTCAAGCAGGAGGATGTGTCTCTTTGGAAGCAGATAATGGATGGGTTATAGAAGAATGATATGACGAAGCTCAGATCTGAGAACGGAATCCGCGAATATTTCAATGTACCAGAGCTTCATCTTAGTTGTATCGTATACAGTGCGTATTGGAGAATTTGAAGGGGGAGCTGTGGGGGGGGGGTGAGGTAAGGAATTAGAGGGGGAGTGCAGTATCAGGTGGATTTGAGGAAGGGCAGAGCTGTGACACGAGGGATTCACGTGTGTATCCAGGAGGGAGTGGAAGGGTTAATGTGGGTGTAGTTGGAGCTGGGGGGGGGGGGATGGGCTGTCTCGATAGTTATGGAAGGGGTGTAGGGGAATATGAGTAAGAGGAGGGTGGATATCGGCTGTCACATTATGTGGGGAGAGAATTGTAGAATTTGAGGGTGGATGAAGGATTTCGGTGTCATTTTGGGACTCGGCAGATTGTTTTGAAACTAGGAGTTCTAAAACTGAGTTGATTGGGGAGCTTTGTGTGACAAAGGTTTTCTTATGAGGGGGTGGGGGAGGAGACTGGTGTCTGAGGAGTAAAAGGCAGTGGTAGGTGGAGGCGTGTGTGTGGTAGGAGGTGGTGGAACGTATAGTCTGTCTGCTGCGGGGAAGGAGAGGGGGTGTTAGGGCTGCAGGAGCGATTGGAGTGTCTGGATCTAGTGCCAAAAAAATTGAAAAGGGGAAGGTAGGAGTAAGAAATAGGAAGTAAGATGTGCTGAGAGTACACCATCGTCCATGAGGCAGGCGAGTAAGTCTTCTCCACAATCTGACCAATTTATGTTAAAGATAGGGGAGTTTGCTGGGGGAGACTGAGACAGTTTCGGTCCAAGTATTGAAGGTTGGGTGAGGTTCTGCAGGAGTGGGGTTGCCAGAGAGATCAGTTAATGATGCTATAGCTTGGGTTTCGGATGTAATTGTACCGAGACGGGAACGATCGGGTCGGGTACCGAGAGACTGCCTACTTGTTTTGGAGACATTGCTGGAAGAGAAATGTGTTGTCTGAGTCAGAAGCTGTAGAGGGGATCACGAAAAATCGGTCCCATTTGGCTGGGCTAAATAGAGTAAGATATTTGTAGGGATGGAGGTGATAGAAGGACGGGGACGTGTGGCAGAGGGGGTAGTATTACAAAGAGGTGGAAAATAAGGCTGTAAAGTAAGTAATAAGGGAGGATGGGGGGATTGATGAAGGTTGTGGGAGAAGAGGCGATGATGTTAAGAGTAGGAATGGCTCCTGAAGATTGTCTTGACTTAGGTGGATAATGCTCTAGTAGGCATTCAGGAGTGGGAAGTGCAGTGCAGTGTTAAGAGTCGTGGTTAAAGGAGAGCCTGGGGTCGAGGAAACAGGAGTTTGAATTGATGGGGCAAGCCTCATTGACACTAACAGGTGTATAATGTCTTCATTACTGGCCATGGGATTATTAGACTTTGTTAGGGAAATAAACAGTCCACCCCTCAGGGTCTACTTGAGGGTAAGGAATAGACAACTAAAGCAGGGGAATGCCGTTCCCATGGTTCCCTCAGTCCGTTCAGGACTGGCAGAGTCAGCCTTTCATCCTTCTAGCACGGCTGTGTGTGGGGAGGGAGATTTTATTGTTAATTTAATTCAGTTTGTAACATAACGGACTTTTTCAGGAATGCATACGACGCACCATTCAAGTTCTGGAATCGCAGGAACGAAGTCTGGCTCTTGGAAGCTGTTTAACATGATAACCGTCATCTGGATTAATGGAAGTGCTCACCGGCAATCAACCAAGCTGTGTAAAATGTACTTCAGAGTACTTAAACTTTAAATTGTGTCCATTCAATTTATTGGCACCGTTGAGATGGAACAAAATTAATAAATGTCATCATTACCTTTATCTTTTTAAAGTTTATAATTAAACCATCATTAAATATCATAGGTATTTTCTTTCGACAACCCTTGGAATTACTTCTATTCTTTTACATAGCCAAACTGTTTTGTATCAACGGTATACATACTGAATAGTAATACCATAATTCCAATTTTCTTGAATATTAGGAGGAAGAAATAAAACACGCTTATCACCATTCCATTTATACTGATGCACCACTACTTGTAACAACACAGTGTTTACTAGGATGAGGCAGGGGTAGTTACAGTAACCATGAGCAAATGACCGTTCTCTACATGTCAACCCACTTCTTGATTATGATAACACATTTTGCATCTGATTTTTAAATTTATAAAGAATCATTTTTAAACATTTAAAAAGGAAATTTCCTAGAGACAAAGGATGATTGAGACACACTATAAGATTAGTTCGGAAACCCCTGAGACCCATGTGAACCTAAGAGCAGCAACACCTCCCTGAGCATAAAATTATTAGTAATATAAAGATTGGCCACTGGTAATGCTTTGCAAGTTACTGTGCCACCACTTCCTCATCCTTTACCACAGCGATAGGAAAGAAGACATGGCTGGTTTTGCACCTTTGTTTTTATGACATACTGGTTTTCCCTGGATTTGACTGCCGCTGTTCCGTTTACTGAAGGAAAAAAATCAAATGTTGAGCTGCCACTCGTTATATCCTTGACTTCTAAATGCAGCATAAATGAAATCATAAGCGAATCTAAACCAAAAGAATCAAACAAACATCTATGACCTCGGAAAAGCATCTTTGTCTGAGAACTAAACTAGGTTCTCGCTCGTGGTGTTACTAGTGGAATGCGCTCCCATGAAGCGAACAGCTGGCAGCAAACCTAGGAGGAACCATCAAGCCGAGACAGATTTTTCACACCTCTACACCTCAAGCACAACTTGCACCTGTATGTAGGCATTTTTCGGAAAAAAATATCTAAAAATGCCTTATGAAAAGAATGTATTAATGTGTATATATAGATATATATATAAAAATCATGCATGGATATTTTGATATGGGTATTCAAATGCATGGGGTCACATATAACCAACAACATATTAAACTTCACACTGCCCAGAGGTTTAATGGAATTCTCGAAAGTACAATCAAAGCTACTCTATCTATTACATTCTACAATATTTAGTATAAAATAAGTAACAATATTTCCTTACAGTCTGGTCAGGACATTTCAAATATTTTTTACCCTTCAACTAAAATTCATGACTGTAAAAAGCATGAGATACTAATTCAAAACACTTTCACAAGGCCAGTGGGAGAAGCATCTTACATATATATGTAGCAAACAACACACTACCACACTTGAGAAACCCAAGTTAATGTGTTTCATGAGGATATATAATAAATATTAAGAACCGTGTGGCATTCATCAAATGAATTTAAGATTACAACTCCCTCAGCCCAAACGTACGGTGTGACAGGCAGAATAAATGTGTAAAAATGATAAAATGGAGGACTAAAGCATTTTACATGCAAAAAAGGGGAGACAGAAATGCGTCAAGTGGGGGGAGGGGAATCAATTCTCTATGTACAATATATAATACAAGTTACACTGAATCAAAATATATGGCAACAAGGTATCCTTCCCCAAGATACACGAAAGCCACGCGAAGTAACTGCTAATTACAGCCAAAATTAACCAATAAGGACCTACCAGAGAACCTACTATTCGAGCCTAAATTTGTGCAGACCATACAGTATATCACAATAGTTTTACAAATCAGGATTTACACCTATCACAGCAAAAAAACAACAATTTGTACAAAACTTGTCAAAGGGCAGTCTAGTAAGTGACCCACATGCAGAATTATGATGATGCAGATACCTATGACAACATTACAATGCTAGTGAAAAATGATGAGGTGATGACAAAGTAAAAGTAACAGTAATTTGTAACTATAATAGTAATAATAATCATAATATAAAAAAATGACAATATAACATTAATAATTACAATAACCTAGAAAGAGACAGAATATTAATAGTGCTATTAACATAAGTCATAATATCAGCATGGACAGAGTGAAATAAAGAGAATACTGAACACTAACAAGGGAAATCACACTGACACTATACATTCAAGAAATAATAATATTGTTCAATACTTATAAAACATGGAAAAAAGTAGGAAGAAGAACAACAAATGACAATGAAAGACCTAGGAAAGAGGGAAGGTGTTACTCCATGTACAGTTAACACTCACGCTTACATGCACTCTTTTGGGGTCAAGCGCCTGAGAGACTCATTCGTTTTTTATCAAAATTAATATTTAACAAAATATCATTTAAAAGTTGATATCAATAACAGTAATATTTGTACTAAAACATGGGCAAATGAGCAAAAATATAGAATAAAATTAACCTAACACCTAACATCTCGGAAAGATAAAAAAGAAAAAGGACCTAAAATTGTAACCCTAACACATTAATGACTAGTTAAAACCATAACTATAAATCTCTAGTATTATCACTGAGCATGATCAGAAACTAAGAAGAGGACCCGCATTAAAATAAATTCGTACACAACGAATTTGTCATATAATAATCAATCATCCAAAAAATACAGCTGTCATCCATACACCCTCACTCCATTCTATAAGAGTGGTAAATAAATTAAATATTAAAATATGACCAAACTTGATAAGCAATTCCAAGCTCATTTTCTCTTTTCACCAATCTTTTACGTGGTCATTATCAATACCTCCACATTTAATGTTGGAAAGTGTTGCAATTGCTAACCAAGTTGGACTGCAAGCACCCACCCAGCTCCTAACTTTTGCCTATCCACGTGTCTCTGACCAATCCATCCCTCCCTACTCCTACAACCTATCCCAGACCTAGCCACAATATTATAAACCTCCTCGTACGCAAAGGGGCGTCAGCCTAACAATTTTCCTAACAGCAAGCTAAGAGGCTCCAATGCAAGGGGAGATTTCCTAACTGCCAAATGACTGTCAAATACTGTAGCCTATCAAATAATTTGCCTACCTCATACTGTCATTTGACTGGGCCTATCACAAAAATGAGAATCACTTTGCAAGGTGACATTATTGGAAACTTATTTTGTGTCTGCTGACACTAAATTTACTCTCTCTCTCCCTCTCTCTCTCTCTTTCACACAATTCAAACAATGCAATTGTGTATAACAATTCTTTTCAAAGCTAACATGATAATTATTCTCTCAAGTCTTGACCCCAAATAAGCAGTAAGGTGCACAGGTGTGTATGTTACAATAACCGTTGGTGCATTTGAGGGTTACATTATTTTCTCCCTAAAACTCATACAATATAATGTTAGTAATTCAGATTCGATATTGATGAGGGTACAATACACAAGTTTGATTAGATTAATCCCTCATAAACCAGCCTATGTCGTTTTCAGTTAATGGCGCAACTATCAACACTGGCATGCAATGTGTTCACACAGAGAGCGAACAAATAAACCACTTGACTGTCAGGGGAATATTCCAACTTTAAGGCACAGTCTAGGACAAAACAGACAAGAGCTCCAAAAAGGGCGACAAACTTCATCCATATTACCAATCTAAGTTAAGATCATACCAAAATAATACTCGAAAGCCATGATTTGACTGCATGTTTGAGCAGTCGGCAAGGAAGAAAAATAATATATTTTTTACATTTCCCTTTAACAAGGAAATTCAAGAATTAGAAGGTTGTTTTCACAATTTTGGGCAGCTAGAAATGGGCAAGACTGGGGCTACACCAATACAATTTTATACATCAAATAATTACATAGCTTTCTGATAGTGCCATGAGGGTCAAAAATCATTAAACTGCTGCTCCGTGTCTAGTCTATTGCCATTAGAATATTACTAGTGAAGCCTCCGATGTTAAAACCTCTTGGCTCTAGACGAGGAGTGCCAGTTTACATTTAAAATGAAAAATATAAGAAAAAAGGCAGGCCAAAACTATGTACTTGTCACTATACAGAACCAACCAACTCCACTATTAGGGGTATGAAAGCCTGGGATCATTAGCTAAAATTTCTTAAACCAATTGTTTTTGGATTGTGAATTGAGAAATTTTCCTTGTAATTTTTATTTTCAATTTTTTTTAAAAAAGCCTTTTCCATAATATGTTCAATCAATTATCTTCTTTAGATTCTTATTCATACCATGAAGAAGAAACAGGGAAATCATGGGGAGAAAGCTTACAACTGTCCCAAACTTTTGGCGTTTGTTTTCCAATTGAAAATGTGTTGCATGGAATAACATCTCTTAGCTGGTAAAACTGCTACATACACCTAGGGTAAACCTTTACTTGTTGCAGTGTAGCTATACATTCACACTGTACAGTGGTAAAAATATATTTCCAAAAGTACTTCTCTAATTTTGTTCAAAAACATAACTTTGATGCATGTACAATGTCAAGATTTACAAAGGCCAAGAGTAAAATGATGTACCCCTAAGTGGAGCTAGCAAGGCCAACATTTGCACAACCTTGTTGCCCTGTAGCCAACTAACAAGTCACCATTACATTTGCAAGTAGTAATTATACTGACATACTTAGGGCATGCAAGAAACACTGCAAATAACAACACTACTGACAATATTTTGTCTACAGATACACCAAACAAACTGCTACCAGGGTTGCCAGAGACAGTAAGACCACCATGATCTGAGGTTGCTACAATCCCAAGTACACATGGATGCACCTAAAAAAAGACTATTAGCTAGTAGTCTGACTGCCACTGTCACCCTTACAAAATTTAAGATTTCAAAAATGTTTAACCCAGATACGTTAAATTGCCCCTAACAATGAATTTCCTATCTGCCCCCGATGGATCCCTAAATCAATCCTATATCAGAATAAAAATAATAAATGCCCCTCACTATTAGCCCATATATCAAGTTTCATATTGTCTAAAATATTCTATCATTTTCAGCCCCCTAACAAGAACCAAAGAGTTGACAGTGTATACAAAGATGATATGTCTATCTCTGGAAGGTGTCTGATGTAAGAAAATGGTCTCAAGAATGTA